GCTCGGCGCGTGGCGGGGCATGGAGCTGAAAGGAGATTTTTTGAGGAGTGGGACATGTCGGGTGGGGGTTCTCCTCCCTCCCTGTGGTCCCTCTCCCTGCACGCCTTCCCCTAGCACCTGCAGGTGAGCATGTTCTCAGCCTTGGGGCCTTGCATGGTGCAGAGAATCCTCTGCTCTTAGCCCTTGTGCTTGGTAGGGTCGTGTCTGGGGGGATCCTGCCTGAGAGCCCCCTCCTTCAGCCTCCAGGGTTACATCTCCCTGAGAAGACGCAGGCCTTGCCATCCCCATATCACTCACGGCCCAGAGGCATGTGAGCCCTTGCAGGGCTATAGCCGGCTTGGAGGACTGGCTATTAGCCTGGGACAGGGGTGCTGGGTGCGGTGGGTCTGCGGTGCCCCTACGCTCCCACCCCCTGGCATAGCTTTGCCGAGTGCCTCCATTTCCCTGACCACCCCCCACAGGGAGGTTGGCCACAGGGCCCTGCCTGATGCTGTCCCTGCAGGGTGTGTGAGGAAACGATCCCTGGAGGATGTGGCCCCTGGCACAGCCTGGGGTGCTGCTCGGTGCCCTCGGAGCCTCCCGAGTGCTCCCCATGCCAGGAGAGGTGCCGGCTGCCCCTTTGGGACAAGCTGAAGCCCCTGGAGAGGCTGCTTGGATGGAGGAAGGGGACAGGGATGGGGTGTGGGGGGGGACAACTGGTGCCTGCTAATTTTAGAAGCTGCTCCAGAATGAAAAGCGCAGAGCCCACCCTCGCGGCCCTCCAACATCTCCAAATTTAGCCCGTTGCTGGCGGGCTCCGTTCACCACCTTTATTGGAGGGAAGCCCGCGGCGCTGGGGACGGCGAGGGCGATGCCGCCGGGTGGTGCCTTTGGGGGCCGCCCCGCCACCCCCCCCGCCGCTCTGCCGCGGGAACCGGGGTTTCATTTCGCCGTCCACCCCGGCTGTTTTCACCTGCTGCTGCAGGGACAGCTGCCTTAGGCCTCAGCTCCTCGGCCATTTCCACTGCCCTGGGGCTGGCCCCAGCCCGGGCTTGCGCTCCTGCACTCACGTAGCCCCCCGTGCGCCTTCCCCTTGGCCTCCTCCTGGAACGGGCCCCACGCTATCCGCTCAGGCACTGTTTTCCTACCCGTGGGTGCCTGACAGGCTCGTGGCCATATTGTCCTTGCCCTGGGGAGGAGGAAAAACAGCCCCTTTGAGCAAACTCGCTGTTAATTCTGGAGTGTAATGATGGCCACTCAGGCTCTCCCACGTAGTGCTGTAAAAGGGGCATCACCAGTGCGATGGGGGACAGAGTGTTGTGACCCCAGGGCCAGCGTGGCTCCTCCTGCCAGGGGCTGCGTGCTCTGCAGCCATGGGGGCTGCAGGGAGGCTCGTGAGGGACAAACCTCCCATTCCTGTGTGGAGGGCCCAAAGGAGCTGCCTCGGAGGGAGGCTGATTCCCTGCAGGTCGCTGAGGGGCTCTCGGCAGCCCCCATGGCCCCACAAAGGGCCCCCATGGTTGGTGTCTGCTGGAGGGGCCCTTGGTGCCTCGAGGTGCCACCCGGGCCAGGACGGGCTCTGCCGCAAGCTCAAAACCGTCCCCAAGGAGTCTGCAGAATAAATACATAAATATGAAGGTCCGGAGCAGAGGGTCGTGGGAGGATGTTCCCTCCTCGTCCCATCCTCCTCAAAGCGCTGCCTCCTCCTGTCCACCCCGAGTCCGTCCCCACGTGCTCGGGTGGTGCTACCTGCTGCAGGCCCAATGGCCTCCCCTCTTGTCCAGGGCCATCTGCCAGGGAGGCTGGGGAGGCCGGAGCTGCGGAGGTTGCTCCGAGAGCAGCGAGGCGCTGGACAAGGCAATAAATAACGTCTGGAACGGGCTGCTTTGGTGGGCAGGAAGCCAGTGCAGCCCAAAGAAATCCAAAAACCAGGGAGGGTCCGCAGGGAGGATGGAGAAAATAATAAATAAGTGAAGCTCGCCTTGTTTTCGAGCACTTAAATAAAGGGTCAGTTCAGAGGCCACTCCATGCACTTCAGGCTGCCTCCACGGGTGCAAATGCTCGTGATGATGATGATGGTGGTGGTGGTGGAGAAGGAGCCTCCAGGAGCTCGGCAGGACGCCCCCGGTCATGCTCTGTGCCGGGACAGGTGGCTCTGGAGCAGAGGGTTCGGAGATGGGGGAGTGGAGGTGGGAATGGGGGTGGCCCTCGGTCCTGGCTTCGGCTCCTGGCCTCAGTCGCGGCTTCGGGTCCTCCTCTTGAGGAAGAAGAAGCTGCTCTTCTGCGGAGGGCCCAGCAGCATCGGCACTTGGCTTTTGTGCGTAATCTTGACCTAAAAAAAGAAGCCAAGAGCTTAATTGGCTCGTGCAATGCTTGGACATCCCCGGAATCGGGACCAGAGCGTGCGGAAGAGGAGCTCTCCTCCCGACCATCCCTGTGGCCTCGGGTCCGCTCCCGGCCCCACGGACTCACCGTGCAAGACGGCTGCATCCAGGGCTCGCCGTCCACCTGCATGGGCAGCAGTTTGGAGGTCCTGCAAGGTGCAAAGAGAGGAGGTGCAGATGGAGGTTCCCTGCTGGAGAGGACTCCCTGGCACACAGGGACCCCGATATGACATGGTGGGACCGGGGTGAAGGAGAAGAGGTGCAGGAGAGCGTCCGGCTGTCACCGCCGGTCAGCGGGGCTGGGGACAGATACCTGATGGTGACTGACGAGCACTGGGCCAGCCTCTTGCCGGCGCTCTTGAGTCCCGTGTAGATCTGCCCCATCTCCATCGCGCCCTCCAGCCCCACCACCTCCAGGAGGTGGTCGCTGAGGTCTGCAAGAGAAAAGGAGCTGCGCTCAGCCCCCGGAAAGCCCATTTGGCAGGAGCCCAGCGCCGCAGGGATGTAAGGAGAGACGAGCTTCCCGCCAGCAGAGTCAGTGGATCGATGGCAAAACCTTTTATCTCGCCCCGCGTTGCCTTTTCCCCATCCCCTCTCTGCTCCCCAGGGACCCCGTCCTTGGCTAAGGAGCCAAGTGGCAGCTGTATTTATGCAGCGTGATGCTGGATCCTGGAAGTGGAGGCCCTGGGGATGCTGTCGGGGTGATTTTGGAGATGCTGGAGGCCGTGGGGGAAGGTGCTGGAGGAAGGGCACAGTCGCGGTGCTGCTAAAGCCACCTTGATGTCCCTTGGACATGTCACCTTGTGTTGGCCAGGGTCCTGAGATCCATCTTGCCCTCCAACTTGTCCTTGCTCTGTGTCACCCCCCTGAGGACGGTGGCACCAGAGGGCTCCGGGAAGGCCAGCAAGTGGTGGCTCCTGCAAGAAGGAGCCTTGTGGTCACCAAAGCTGGACCCCTGTCCCTGGGCTGACACGCGAGCTTGTCACCTGCAGGTCAGCCGGCTGCCGGGCGGCAGGGCTCGCTGCTCCGAAAAGTGTGCATTATTTATTTGCTTTATTTAGTCTTTGGTAAGTGCTTGAATATTGAGCGTGGTGCCAAAATGTCTCCCTCTTCAGCTGAATGCTCCTCCTCCAGTGTCTTGGTCTCCAGCTCCCCCACCGGCGACTTGCTCATTTGCTCCATTTCTCCTTCAAGGTTTGATGCCTCCCCAGGTGTTGCTCCACCTTTTCCGAGCTCTCCATACCAGTGCCAGGACACTCCTGAAGGTGGGAGGAGGATCTTGAAGCTAGTGGGATGTCCTCACCGCTCTCCAGAGGTTCCTCTGGCCTGGGGCAAAGCTGGAGATCCTGAACGGCATCTCCAGCCAGCTCCTTGCCATGGAGCTCAGCCTGCTGCTCTCCCGGGCATGTTCTTCCATGGAAGAGCTCCTTGCTTCCCAGTCTTTCTCCACACCTGCAGTCTCTGCTGGGATCTGGGTTTGCTCCGGTCGGGCTCTCCAAGGGGCTGCCATGGAGGGACGGCCGCCTGCGCACGGAGCAGGGAGCTGGGCACGAGGTGGCAGGCGGAGACGGCCACAGAGGTGACCTCTGGCACCTGAATTTTTCCTAGGAAAAGCCCTCGTGCTGATGCACCCGGATGACACCCCCACACGCGGGGCGCTGTCGGCGGTGCCTTGGAGAGGGCCACAGCAGCAGAAGCTCTTTGCAAGTGTGGTAGGACCCAGTGGGTGGGAAGAGCTCTCCTTGGCGGCCGTGCTCCATGTCAGGTGGCTCCGGAACCAGCGCATGCGGCAGCCGAGCGGCGGCTCCGTTTTGGGTCTCCTGGGGCTGCCACCGGCTTCCCGTGGTTCTCCTACGGCCCTGTCCTGGAGCACTGGCTCCCTTTTGGGATAGCGACTTGCTGCCCTGGAGGCCTTGGCACAGGCATGGTTGGGCTGCAGCATCTCAGTGGAGTTACCTGGTGAAGGACCTCCTGGTGAAGGACCATCAGAACCCAGGTTTGCCCTCGAAGCTGTTACAACCAAGCCATGGTCCCTACGAAGCCACCGAAGACCCTGCTCATCCAGACTGCTGGTGAATGCCCCCAATGCACTTTTGCTGGCTGAGCACTTTGGTCCCTGCCTCTCGCTCCACAAGAACCTCATGTCTGGAAACCCTGGTACAAAGAGCCCAGCAGGGCTCCTGCCGTGCTCACCTTGCACGCAGAGCTTGAGCTCCTTCGCGTCGGTGACCACCGTCGAGGGCAGCTTCTCGGGGCCCTTCTTGCCCAGGCGGCTGTAGCTGCGCTGCTTCTTGGTTTCGCCCCAGAGGTTGGAGCCTCCGTACATGCTGGGGATGTTGAGGACGGCGATGCCCTCCAGGGAAGCATTGCTCAGGTCCAGCAGGGTCCCGTCACACTGCCGGACACACACACACGCAAGCATGAGGCTCCTATGCACATGGAGCCTCCATCCCTCCTCCTCCTCCCCGACTCCTGCATGGCCTGAGGCCTGGAGGCCAGAGGTCCAGGCTCTTTAGGGCTCCGTGTTCAAACGGGCTTCCAAGAATGATAAGCTTTGGTGACCCCAAAAAACATCCTTTTTTTTTTCCCTTGTTTTCCCCCCGCTTTGGTACAGCCGAGGAATTCCCACCCGTCCATGCTGCTCCGGCCGTGCCTGCGCCGCGGTGCCGGTGCGGCACAAAGGGCCCTTTGAGCGGGGGGCAGCGGCCGGGGCGCCGGCAGCGCGTGGAAACTTGCAGCTGGGGACGGGGCGGGGGGAAAAGCCAACGCGCTTCCAAGCGCCGCGCGCTGGCGGGCACCCAATTCCCCCAACAAAACTGCCGTTTCTCCGTGGCCACCGC